CAGAGGATGATTACCGAACACAGTAATAATAAGTATGGCCCATTGAAGTAATAGAACAAAAAAAATCTGAGACGAGCGGATACAAGAGAAATCGATTCCCTACGAGGTCCACAACATATACTTAAAATTGGTAGTGATTGATTGAGTGATCAAAAGGAAAAAACACGACAAAGACTACTGCTTCATTCATTCATTTTGCCTCACACAAATGCATTTCTTTTGCAGACATTATTGTCACAAAGAGATGAAGAACATGTCGATTGTCAACCAAACAAAATGAGCAGGACAACCTTGTGGTGATCAAAATGGAGAAATCATAGATTAGACTCTTAGTCCAACTGTCATAAGACCTCTTTTAATGTCAAACATTTACTCAATTGCCTAAGATGGTGCTCAATATTAACCTGCGATTGCAAGATCGACCGTTCTGATCAGTGACGAGCTGGGGGAGGGAAGACCCGTTCTCGTGGACTGGACTCGGTCTGATATATAAATCGCAAATTTGGTTAAATGAAATTGATATCTCATTTCAATTGGACAGCAAGCGGTTTTGATCCTTAAGGTTTCCCATCTAAGTATTTCATTTTCAAGAAATATAACCAAATTTGAACATTATATTTAAAACGAAATGCATGAAGAGAGCACGGTTACACGACCATGGAATCGAGTTTGTCCTCCTAAGGGTGTGTTTGGTTCGGTTTTGCAAATGGTTCTTGAAGAAATGCAAATGCCTTTGGCCTAAAGTCCTTTGGAGAAATGCAAATTACGTTTGCTAAAAAATTCTTTGTAAAACAATTTTTTTTGCATAGGGCTTTTGGGTTTGAGTTTTCTTTTTTTTGGCCAACTCCGGCGAAGAGCTAAGGCCCCCGGCAAGCCAGATCTAGCGCCAGCGACCGTCGCCCGAGGTCGTGCGACCCCTGGCAAGGTTCACGCAACCCTAGGCGATCGTCGCCGGGGTCCCACAACCTCATCGGCCCCTCGTCGACCCTTTGTTGGCCCAATCTAACCTCGTCGGCCCTTGTTGGCCACCCTCGCACAAAGAAGATGAACAATCACAACTAGGGGCAAAACCGAAAAATTACAGAATTAGTGAGGGTAATTTGGGAAGAAAAAAACTAGTTTCTACATTCGGCCAAATACTAAAAGCTCAATGCCAGTAGAGACCTGCATTGGGCGTTCAGTTGTCGCCAGGCCAGCAATTGGATGAAAGCCCCTTGAGAAGGCTTGCCAAACACTTCTAATGGTTCTTCAAGGAGCTTTAAAAGGCAGAAAGCCCCTTGAGAAAGCTAAACCATACGTTCATTCAAAAACTATAACGGATTAATTTTACCTACGTGAGATTTATCTTTTCGAACTCAAACCTTGGAACTAAATGGGTAAATCGAATTACATGGTATAAGATCGAAAATGTAGCCTGGCTGAGCATCATTGCAGTTCCGCCATTGAAAAGCGCAAAAGTAGGAAACAACTCTTCGATAGAACTGATTAAGAATATGTACTCCAGCGTACAACTCACGGCTGCAACAAAAGCAAAAAATAGCGAGGTGGAGACATCACTAAAACGCCCCACAAAAAATTAGGAAAATAGAAAACTAAGTTGACTGAGAAAATATACCAAATATATTAGGATAATATAGGACCACGGTACCAGATACTTATCCTACAGTGGGTCATTACAAACGCTCCAGGCTACGTTCCTAAAATCATAAAATCGGCCAAAATTCCTGCAACGACATTAGAAAATATTATCTCGCATGATGCGACATAAGTTGATGCCTTTTTTTCGGGAAGCTCCGACTCCAAGGAACTGGCTGCAGATTACTTTATCACCATCTATTGTTGCTGCGACCTCTCCCACCACCGAAGCCACCGGAAAACGGGCCACTCCTTTGGCCAGAGAAACTACCACCCCTACCACCTCTACCCCCAGAAAACCACCGCCCCTACCACCGAAGCCGTCACGACCACCCCCACCGCCAAATCTTCCCCCTCTTGACTGGTCTCTCTCCTGGAGACGCGGCAATGTTTTTTTTGGTGTAAAATGTAAGTAGTATATAACAGATGATGTACAGCAGCTTAGGGGCATTCCCCGGCATTACAACTAGTACTAATAATTCGAGAATATGGAGGTAGGAAGTCTCCATAAAGTAGCTAAAACAAAGTTAGCTTGCGATTTTGATTTTTTTGCATAGCGAAGCTCTACCTCTTACATTTTTCCGCATCTTCGCCAAAATAATCTGAATGTCAGTTGGATTGTTTTGAAACCGCCTATGGTTGCGCTCCATCCAAGTGCAATATATAGTCGCTAGGAATATACAGAGACGCGGCAATGTTGTTACCACCTCTAAGCTTACATTTGCTGCATTCTCCTGACCTGCAACCCAGAGGAGGGAAATAAATACCAAAATCAATCATTGCCCATATAACGAGAATTTAATTGAAGCGCTACACTAGGCTGATGGACTCACAGCATACTCTGCTATAATAAGAGAAAAATCTACGAAAAGTGTGCGTAAGGTGCAGCATCACTTATTGACATTGGAGCCCTGATGAGTTCTGTGGTTTAAGTACCGGCAAGGAAAGTATCCAGATCTTCAGCTGCCACATCAAATACAACGCCATTTCCATCAGCTGTGAGAGTAAGATCCTTCACGGACTCTACTTTTTCTTCAGGCAAGAATCTCCTCAGGACAGCAAAAGCATACCTAAAAATCGAAGTGATATATAAGCCCAGAGTCAGATCAGGTGCGAATCGAATATAATACCAAAGCTAGAAGGGGGCCTGCCCTCACATCCACGCAATATCTACAAAGCAGTACTGCAAAGCAACACAACTTTTTGCTGACAGAGATCTTGAATACTTACGAAGGTGTATAAATGGGCCTTCCAGTCTCGAGAAGTAAGGTTACATGGTTCTCAAGTGACGAGAGCAGTGATCTGCTCTTTATTTCACTATAATCCTGAAAAAGGAAGTGTACAAATTATATTTGTTAAATAACCAAAGAAAGAAGGAAAAGAGATGCATGTCAACGAAGTGCGATTAAAGAAAAAAATAAGCAATCAGCTTTGTTAAAGTAACAAGACGTGAGTGAAAAATAAACTTACAGGAGCCTTAGCAAGAGCCTTTGCAAGTAATTCTACTGCTGGCATGCCAGACGTGTTCAGTAGTTGCTCGGCATCAGACTTAAATGCCGGAATAACACTGCATTTTGGAGAATATCAGCATCTCGTTGTTATAGGCAATGATTCAGCTACTCAGCAAAAAGAATGACTGTACCTATCAGAAATTTGTGTTATTGATTCAGCAGCTTCGATGCCAGCAGCTTGAGCAGCATTACTTGGCTGCAGAGCAGCCATGTGTTCAAATTTACACCAGACTCTTTTTCGATCCTAGATACGTTTGCCCTTCTTGGATCGTACAGCATGACAACTACTCCAGTATTGCCTAGAAAACATTAGTGCCCTCAGCATCTGGCGAGCTGCAGAAATAATGACACTATGGAAAATGCAGGTTTCAAGTTGAACAATTACCAGCTCTCCCTGTGCATCCAGATCTGTGAATATAGGCTTCAACGTCCCGAGGAGGCTTGCACTCAAAAAACAAAAGGCCAACTATCAGCACGACTGCATTTAGAAAAACAGCAAATCAAAACATACCATATACAGCATACCTGGATAATTAACTGGACATCATTGATGTCCAATCCTCGTGCTGCCACATTCGTGACCACTAATGTCATAAACTTGCCAGACCTGAAACCAGCAAGTGTAACCAGCACTCAAGAGGCAAAGTTTAAGCAAGGAAAAGCATGTCATTTGTCAATTAAAAGGCAAAAAAGGTTTCAACCGTTTTAATATAGATGGTCATTGGTCGCCATTCCGAGTGGCCGGATTGACTTTTACATTTTGTTTTTTCTTAATATATATCTTGTGGCTTGCACACACATTTTTAAAATCTTAAAGTCTTGAAATTATCACTACACTCAAGTATTGACACTTAAATTCAGATATGATTTTTCATAGTTTTTATCATATTAAAATAATATTTTAAATTTTGGCGGGAAGTACTCTTGGCTTTTGCTTATGTGTAACCAAACATGCCCTAGATTGTGAAAGTTAATTTCTAGAAATACTCGCATACACAAAGCCAGAGAATAAGTGACATACAAGGAACGCATCACTCAAACAGATAGCCCCTGTAAATTAACAAAAGAATATTGTTTCCACAGTCATGATGCTGGACCTACCAATGAATCAGATCCAAAAACAAATACTAATAATTCATTCTATTGAAGCTTGTACCTGTGCATTCATCACTTGAGAATAAGAGGGTAGGTACCCCACTAAAAGAATCAGCCACCTTTATTCACTGAAAATATTTTATAATGAAAGGGAATTTTTTGCTACAGATCAATCTCTTTGCCTCTGGATGTAACATTTATATCCCGTATCATTTATACCTTGCGCAACTACCACACGTCATTAAATCAGCACTCTCCAAGGAAATGAACTACTAGGCAAATTAAGTGGGTTGACTTGTAAACATAGTAAGGAACTCGCACAACATTGTCACCCACTATCTGTGGTTGACAACTGGAAAGCAGGTAAACCAACATTCCTAGTCATGTAATTTAGTATAACAAAGCATGCTTTCTTTTCTTTCTTCATCTCCTCTCCAGTGTGTTACGACATTAACACTCTTACATGAAATAATACCTATAAAGATTCTGCATATTCATCATTTACCCCTCGTTGGGTTTCTGCATATTCATCATTTACCTCTCGTTGGGCTTGCTGTATGTCCCCATGCAATGGCCGAGCTCCGGGCAACAATCCCGAAAGTTGAGAAGCACATTCCTTTGTCTCAGTAAAAATTATGGTACGGCCTCCACTAAAGAAAATCCAACCAGAGAAGAAAGTTTAAAGACTCTGCAGTATATCTCATGACCAACAAAAGAGCACAGCATTAAAGAAATGGAAATGGAAACAATTAACCTGCCGTAACAGCGTATTATGTCTGGGATAACCTGAGATGTAGCCGAGCTTGTACAAGGGATAACAATATGCCTAACATTGGTGCTGGCCTTCATTGTCTCATTCCCTACTAGAGCTACAGTTCTCTTGTTTTGTTTAAGGAACCTGGAAGAAATCTGGAAATGCAAAGTCACGGTATCAGGAAATTGAGTGAAGATAAGTTTGCACGACGGCAAATAAGGAAAACCAAACATTCACAACTAAGATACAAATTCAGAGCAACAAAACAAGTCATTTGTCATCAAAATTGGATCTGAGACAAGAGTGGATACAAGAGAAATCGAGTCTACATGAGGTCCATAACATATACTTAAAATTGGTAAGATAGTTATCAAAAGAAAAAAACAAGAAAGACTACTGCTTCGCTCATTAATCCTGCCTCACACAAACGCATTTCTTTTATAAACATCGTTGTCACAAAGAGACGAAGAATATGTCATTTGTCAACCAAACAAAATGAGCAGGACAACCTCACAGTGATCAAAATGTAGAGACATAGATAGACTCCGAGTCCAACTGTCATAAGACCTCTTTTAATGTCAAACATTTACTCAATTGCTTAAGATGGTGCTCAAAATTGGCAATGGACTTACCTGAGAACCTCTGCAGAATGGCTGAACAGCAAACCAAGAATGTGCATTTCCCTTCTCTCTCTCTCTCTCTCTCCCCACCATTGCATTTCCTTTCAAATTCTTCATAGAGAGACTTTAGAAACTCTACTGTAATACAAAACCATTTGCAGCTTTTAGTTTACACAGTGTTGCTGTCAAATGCTAAAAATAAGATCACTTTAGTACTTGATCCATAGTAATTCCACTATGGAAGTTCATATGGGTGCTCAACAGGTCTAGGGATCGCTTGATTTCAGGAATTAATAAATCAGTAGCATGTATCATGTGAAAAGAAAAACGCTACATATTTCATTGTCGCCATTCATACCCTTGATTTGCTGCGCAGATCTATGCCAGAAGCTCCGATTCTATGGGAACACATTGACATAAAAGTTATTTTTAAGGGAAGTAAACCAGAAACCATTCTTGAGAGGAACATCTCATCACTCCATCTACGAGAGTTTTCCAGAATCATTGGACTGTGCAGGCAATTCACTCCTTGTGGAATCAAATAATGAGATTGCAACGCTATATCTACAACACGAGTCACGAGCCAGATTTAACGAGCTCGGAGTTGGATGAGGAGTATGAATTTTTCTTCGTTTTTCTCGCATGGATGGGGATAAAGCAATGTTCCCACACCCTGTAAATACCTGCATTCAAGGACATGTCCAAACCTTTCAGCGATCTGTCCCATGTCCCCGAATCGAGAAATTGTTCATGAAAAAAGGTCCCACGTACCTTTAGAGAGAATATTAGGGATCGTGAGATATGTGCGGGAAATGAGCAAATCTTGTGCCAGCGATCTGTCCTCCCCTCTCTTCAGCGATCTGTCCATGTCCCCCCAGAATCAAATCAAGTAATCGAAACACACAATTCGAGAATTATTCTTCATGTAAAAAAATCTGGGTAAAAAGGTCCTCGCATACCTTCAGAAAGGAGAAAAGCGATCGTGAGTTATGTGGGGGATATGAGCAATCTTGTCCCAGTCCTCGCCACCATCTCTCTTGCACCTCCTCTCCAATTCTGGGCAAGCTCCGATTCTTAGGTGAGTAAGGGACGCAAGCCTTCGGATTCCTTCGGGTAATGACGTCAACGAGGGGCACTTGATGATTTGAAGCTTCTGAAGTGATTCAAGAGCCACGATCTGCTCTGGTAATTCCTTCAAATTGTCGCAATCCTCAATTCTGAGACGCTCGAGATTGCTGAGCTGGAGAAGCCACTGTGGGAGAGATGCTAGTTTTGGAAGTCCATCGAGATTCACGGAGCGGAGACTGTGATGGAGTCCTCCATGGAAATCCAAGATGAGGTTGTTGTTGCCGCTTTCGTCTTTGCATAAATCCAGCTCCTCACAAAAAGCGATAAAGAGATGCTCGAGATTGCTGGCCTGTAGAAACCACTGTGGGAGAGATGCTAGTTTTGGAAGTTCAATGAGAGTCACGGAGCGGAGACTGTGATGGAGTCCTCCATGGAAATCCAAGATGAGGTTGTTGTTGCCGCTTTCGTCTTTGCATAAATCCAGCTCCTCACAATACATAATAGTGAGATCCTCGAGATTGCTGAGCTGGAGAAGCCACTGTGGGAGAGATGCTAGTTTTGGAAGTTGTTGGAGCATCACGGAGCGGAGACCGTGAAGTTCCAAGATGAGGTTGTTGTTGTTGCCGCTGCTGTTTTCGACGTAATTGGATAAATCCAGCTCCTCATAATCCGAAGAATCGAGATCCACCAGGTTGGATTGATGTCGCGTACCCAATGGTGGTGGTGCTTTGGAGAGGGAAGTTAACCGAGGACATGTACCGATGCTTAGAGATTCGAGTGAGGCGAGACTTTTCCAGCACTCCACGGGCACACATTCTAGAGACTCCATCCCGTAGATTTCCAGGCTCTTCAACTTATTAAGGTCAACTATCATATTTATCAACGCTGGGTGGGACCCACACAGGCTTAATTGCTCGAGATGTGGAGCTGGTGGCATGGCTTTCAATTTCATACAATTAACGATCTTCAATTCCAATAGACTAGGAAATGATGCCGCTGAAGTGGATGAATGGTCCGACTCGATGTATTCCAATTCATTCAGCCACCAAATCTCTAAAATCTTGAGGTGAGGTAGTTGGCCCACTGGAGGGAGATGTTTACATGTCCCGCAATTGTCGAAGCGTACCTCAACTAATTTTGGCAAAGAAGACACAAGGCTATCCGTCATCCACCTTGGAAAGCTCTCACCTTTATATCCTTTAATCCTCAACTTCTGCAGATTTGAGTGTGGCCTCAGTCCATCTAATAGCATTTCATCTCCATTCCCAATTACTGAATCATCAATATCGGAATCGCCCCATTGAAGTTCCAAAGATTCCAGAGAATGCTTCCCTATCAAGTTCGCAGCCTTGGATTCTGCTTTGGCATCCGTCACGCTTCCCAAATTCTCAATGCAAAGGCTTCCCAAGATGTTATTAAGCTCTTTTAGCTCCCCAATTTCACAACCATTCTTAGCAAGAGCTTTTTTGGGGGGCAAAATGAAGCGCGTTAGCCTATGCAAAGAACTCAATTGCCCTAGTCCGCGTGGCACATAACTAAGTTTCTCACAATAATCTATGTCTAGATTTCGAAGGCTGACTAACTTCCTTATGCCCCTTGGCAATTCTTCAAGGACAGAACAGTCGTAGAGATTAAGAGTTTGCAAATTCTGCAATCTCGTAATAGAGTTAGGAAGCCTTTTCAATTTATGATTGTGAGAGAGATTGAGATACGTGAGATACTTCAACTTACAAATGGACCTTGGCACCTTTTCTACATTATTTTCATGCAAATCCAAGACGCGCAACCTCTTGAAACTTTGAATCAGTTGGCATAGATCTACTTCACTCGTTGGTTCCATTTCCCAATGACTCTTAGTAGACAGAAATGTTCTCAATGCACTTGCTTTCAAGCATGAGATTGGAATTTCACCCATCAAATCGAAAGTTGAACCATATGATACGTGACGAGTTCTTTCGTGTATGGATTTTGTGTCATCCCATGCCACCCAACACTCGGTCCCGGCAACTGAGCAGGCTAGATCATGCATCAGATCATGCATCTTGCAAGTCTCCTCGTCTTTTTGAAAATCTTGGAAGAAGTTGCTCCAAAGTAGATCCATGAAATAGCCATGAGCAATGTCTTCTAAATGCGGACTTCTATTTGATGGCTGGATAAATCCTTCGGCCATCCAAAGATCGACCAAAGTCTGCTTCTTTATTTCATAATCTTTGGGAAACAATGAACAAAATGCGAAACATTGTTTCAAATGTGAAGGAAGATGGTCATAACTAAGCTTAAGTATTGATATTATGCCGTGTTCCCTTTGGGACACATCTAGGAGCTCTTTTTCTTTGAATTGCAACCATTCGTGCTTACTCTTCTTAAAGAGTAAACTCCCAATAGTTCGAATTGCCAATGGAACGCCGGAGCACTCTTTAACTATATCTTTACCAATAGCTAGCATGTCAGGATCTTGTATCTCCTCTTCTTTACAACAAGCCATTTGCATGAGTAATTCAAGAGACACACTTTCATCTAACCCCTTGAGAAGATGAGGCGAAGCAGTGCCGGTGATCTTCGCAACCGAAGTAAGGCGTGTAGTTATGAGGATCTTGCTTCCTCCAGCACCTCCCAACAATAAAGTTTTCAAGCTCAGCCATGTTTCTCGTTCTACATTCCACACATCATCTAAAATTAAGAGGTATCTCTTTCCATCAATCTCTCCCCTCAGTTCACTTTGCAACCGTTCCATCGCAACCTCGGTTGGTTCTTTCGTCTTTGCACAAGCTATCATATTTTTCACTATTTTTTTGATGTCAAAGTCATCAGAGACACAAACCCACATTTTCAAGTTAAAATGTTTACTGACAATGTTATCATTATACACACATTGAGCAAGAGCTGTTTTTCCAAGCCCCCCAATACCAACTATTGGAAGGATGGAAACGTTCTCTTGCACGTCTGAATCCAGTACAAATTCCATGACCACCTTCTTATCTTCATCTCTCCCTATAATATTTCCCTCACGTATAAACGAATGCGTCTCTTCTCTCTTCCTCCACTCTCTCTCGGGGCGCTCATCCAAGTGGAATCCCTTATCAGCCTTAATGGCGTCGATTCTCACCCTAACTGCTCTTAGTTTGTAACTCATCTTCATTTTAAAAGCAAGCTGGTTTGAACTTGAGAAAAATGTCCTTACCTCCTTCATCATTTCATTGTGGCCCCTCAGTTCTAGTCGCATGGCTTCTATATTAAATTCTTCAAGCACGTCTTGTGCATCGTAGAAAGCTTCTTTCAGTTTATCAACCCAAAATTTAATTTGGGGACTCTGGTGGTATTGCTCTTCTGCATGGGCCAGTACTGCCTGAAGAGTGGAGACACTGTCCTTGAGCACCTCAAGTTCTTGCTTAACGCCCCATAACTTTCCAACATTTTCTAGTGCTTGAGGACCTAGATAAGCAACGATCTTTCCAGCAATACCGACGATGACAGCTTCCGCCATTTTTGTTCTCTTTGTTTCTCTGTGAATCAAAAGATATTAGTGCAGTAGGTCCAAGGCTTGAGACATCTCACGACATGTACAACAAGTTAATGTTGATGCTCATCGGAGACTAGCAAATCAAAAGCCTAACAAATCTAATTATCAACTCTATGACCGACTTCAGCTTATTATAGATAGGAATTCTGATCATCCACGCAAGCCTCAACCAAAAATGCAAACCCACTCAAGTCGCATCCGATGCCTGCAAGAAAACTGTTGTTTTTTTAAAGGCGTCATTCTTTACCTTTTTGTCAAAAGATGACCAATCATTTTTTATATTCTTGGGATGGATTTAATGTATGACAAAGTTAGTAACTAAGCTTACGTTATAAACTTAGGGAATGTTAGTTTGCTTTAATATTCAAGCACCGTGAGATGTGAGCTACGATTAATTAGCAACCAATATATATGGGAATATATAGTTACACATGTGCAATACACATTAGGATAGGAATTCTTTCTAGGAATATAGAAAGTTCTATACGTGTAAGTAACATAACAGATTTGTTAACATTCTGATGCCAACACTACACATCTCAATTCAAAACTCTCATTCATATTGTCACGTGACATTATTGCTATTATTTTACTAAAACATTACGGTTTGATTAAGGAAGTTCACTCTCCTTGCTAATCTCACAAAATCGTTTGCTTCCTATTATCAATGCTTCTATATTTTTTTTCCTTCCTTTATTTTTTCCTATTATCCAAATAAATAAATAAAACTGCCTTAAAGCTCTTCCCATATTAGACAATTCCAAAACTTGCACATTTATGCAAAGTAAAATCCTATATCTGTACACAATCTTTTACTATTTCAGTTTTTTATTGTAATCATATCGATTAGTTTGAAATCCTTTAAATAACTGAAATTTGTAGCTTTTCTTTAACAACTACTATAAGACAAGTCATCTCTCTTGTCTTTTAAGTCTGGCTCTTATTTCTATCCCCCAACATATTCTTCTTCTAATTTAGCTCTACTCAATATATACAATCAAATCTTTGCTGAATTTCCTATCTGATCATCTATTTTTTAATCTAAAGTTATTTTTGCTTTTTCTATTAATGACAAATAGGCAAGCTTTTCTTACTTACTACAGCAACTTTTATAATTCTTTTTACACTAAAAAAATGCACCAATTATTATATTATTATGATAATAATTGTTTCTTTTTATACAAAGTATGAGTAGTCTTCTCACAATAATGTGTTGTGCACGTCGCGCATCTACTTTTGTTATATTGTAACATTCTTATCATCCCCCCAATAATAGGAATGTCTTAGTCATTACCTTTTATGCATTTTCTCCATGCATGACAATCCTTTTCGCATATTTTGATGAACTCTCAAGTAGGGTTGGTTTCATATTTAATAAATATATCATTCTTTTATACAATTACCTAAATTTACTAACAAATGCCATTATCTGTAACTTGTTACAGGTTATTTCAAATGAGCATTGCTCCATGCAAGAATGACTTGAGATAAGTGGCATGATCCTAGGTTATTTTTATTTGTTTGATATATTTTGGAGAGTTTGGACTTAGTAAGCTGAGAGCAAGACTCATTAGGAATGGCCCTGCCTATTCCCTACACCTTTCTATTGGGCTTGGTGTTGGCCTATGTCCTTTTGACACATGGCTGTATACAATTGGCTTGAGTCTCCCTTGACAAGTAGCAGCCTATCCATATGAAATAATCCTGTTAAGCAATTATTTTGATCCTCTTACCATAAATACCCCATCAATTCACTCGTTAAGGTATGATGTAATCTTTTACATATCCGGTGGATATTGAGAGAGCTGAGTTTGGAAGTTAGGACCACAATTAAACTGGGACGAAAGTGACACAAGTTTGCTAGATATGTAAAAGATCACGTCCAGTTTAATAAGTAAGGCAAGTCGATGTTGTTGTTCTTGTATGTAAAAGATTAAATGGTATGATTAAGTTCTTTCCCACTTTGTTGGAAAGTATGTATGTACATTGGAGTTTTGTAATCAATGTTTGTCATTTTAAATATTTTATATTATCTATAATTATTGTATACTTACATAATCTAATTCAATAAGTAAGGCAAGTTAATGTTGATATATTGTTCTAGGAAAATTATATTAGATTAAATTAGATGATTGAGTCTTCCTCTACTTTATTCTATAGTAATATGTCTAATTGATGTTAAGGAAAGTGGGACGGGATGGAACTTTGTGATGATGTGGGCCAACCATTTAACTCCATTTTAATGAAGTTTTTTATTATTGATTGATGTGTGTGTATGTGCCTATATGTAAATATGTATGTATTACATATACTTAGTTTGGTTTCACAAACGACACATAATAAAATATAATGAAAGAAAATAATCATGATGATAAGAGTTGGCTTGGCTGAAATTTCTTCGGACTTGTTTGTTTGTAATTTTTAAAAAAGCAAAAATAATTTTTTTTTCTCTCTGTTAAAATTTAAAATATAATTCAAGTATTAAAAAAATTATAAAAGATTATGTGTAATTAGTGTGAAAATTTCATATGTTTCGGACCAAAAAACATTGTTAGCATGCGTCTGAAAATGAGATTGGATTCAAAAAAATAAAAACAAGCCTTTAGCTGTTTTGCCAATGCTTATGAAAGCATAGAGCTTGAAATCAGCCACAGGAGATGGACAAGCTTGAGGGGAATTCTCATCATCCACGCACATTACAAGATGAGGCCTAAATCAATGTGCATATAGGACCCACAGCAGTCGAGTCCGAGGTTCGTGATTAAAGGCAATGAAAATGCCGGTGAAAACAAATCACTAATGTCACGCCCCGAACCCCACCGAGCCCGCAACATCCCTCCGTGGTCGTATTGAAAATGCGACGTCCCAGGACTCGTCGCCGACCCACGCGAACATCAAAACATAAAGCGCAAACGGAAACGATTAAAAGCACCCAGACAAGATTAAAGACCAAGGGTAGTAGAACACTTGAACAAATGAACCACATATTTCATTCAACGGCACGCACTTACAAAATCCAACCTTACATACAAAGGCCACTAGGGTTAAAACCACCATCATCAAAAAGGGCAAGTGGTCGGGTAGGTTAGCCTAGCTATACAAAAAGGGTCCACCAACTCCATGGACTCCTCTTCGGGATCTTGCTCTAACGGCTTTTCCTCGGGATCCCAAAACGCTGTGACGGACCATTCATGGTCGGAGTCGGGGGTCTGAAATGGTTATATAATAACTATGAGAACGAGTCTCAATAAGCAACACCCTAAACTAACAAGTAACGTACAAAATTCACATCCACGCACTTACCTCGCCTCAATCCACACATCACCTCTACACGTTAGTCAAATCATGACAATGAAATAATATCTCGATAATATGACACACTCATTCAAGCGCCATCCACACTCGCACCCAACTAATCCAACCAAACATCCACACGTACTTCAAGCCAATCCAACCAATCACATTTCGCACACGTGCCCAACCAACCATCTCACGACCCGCGCCACTGCACCTCAGGTCCATTCTCACAGCCCGCGCCACTGCGCCTCAAGCCCATTTGGCACACCGGCCATTCATGCTTTCACACGGACCGCCGTCAACACGTCCCAAGTCCGTAGCCCTCCGATCAATCCGGGCTCAATTCCAATGACCGACGTAAACACATTCCGGTCCAACACACCTTTAACAGGCCACCGTCAACACGTCTCAAGCCCGCATCCATTTGGCACACCGGCCATTCATGCTTTCACACGGACCGCCGTCAACACGTCCCAAGTCCGTCAACTTTCATTCTACAGACCACCGTCAGCACGTCTCAAGTCCGTTCTTACATCCAATCCACCACAATTTCCACAAAATGCACCATACTAAATCGAGCGCACAAAGGCCTCGATAGGCCATCGAACCTAGCCCCCAACACAGCACGTCCAACGCAATTTAGGCATAAAATCACACATGGGGAAAAATCACAAGTCAAACCGCCACTCAAACACACTCACTTCAACAACGAGCAACCAATGCAAATTGCCACTAATCGAACATTAATTCACACACGAACTATCACACATTTAAGCCCCACTTCGAGCACCAATCGATCTCACAAATCATCACACAAAACGGCCCTTGAACCGCCACAATGTAGCCCACGTTTGCACCACAAATCAGCCACCACACTCAGCCATAAACAGCCACATTCAGCCACAAAGAACAAGGGAAAACCGAATATACAGATTCGGAGTAATTCTGGGCCAGCGCACAGTTCTGGAATCCCTTTTTAAATAAATAGTAATTCAACTCCAAAAATTCTAAATTTTGGATATGTTGTATAAAACATCTTGATAAACATTTTCCGTGAAGAACTTGAAACCCAGTTCCAACTGTAAATACCTCTTTTTGTCACTTGAAGTTAGACAAAAATCAACCCGTCCGGTCAGGCCGCCTGACCATCAAAATGTATCTCATCCAGTGCCCAAATCACTTTGGAAAGCCTTGAAATTTTTATATGTCATAGAAACAAGTGTTTATAACAATTTTTGTGAAGAAAGTTTGTTGAAAAGAGGTCTGGAAAAATTTATAGAAAATCGGAAAGACCAGAAGGTCGGGTGAACAGTAAATCCGACAGACTGAATTCGGTTCAAAAATGGACTTACGAATGGCATTAAATGATCTTCAAAAATTCTAAAATTAAATTATGTCATACTTCAAGGTGTTATGAACAACTTTTATGAAGAACACTTCCTCAAATTCGGTCCACACAAGTCACAGTAAAAATTGTAAAATCCAGCGACGCAGCAGCAACCTTACCGGAAATCAACCAACAAGCACCACCAAGCAAACCAAGCACAACCAGCCACTAAACCAACTATCCACGGCCATAATCCGCCCCTAAACATGTCCATTAGTAACCCATTATCCTAACTAAGGCTTAGGGGTCACTTACTCTTAGCCTAAGCAAGAAAACCGAACAACGGGTGCAATAGAGAGCCTTGGCACGGCAACGGCTACTCCGGCGAAGCAACGGCGAGGGCGGACAACGGATGGCAGCTCAGGTGGTCGGCGATGGTGTGAGGGTGATCGTGGGTGGTGGTGATGGGATGGACAAATGGAAGGGAAGGGAGAGAGTGAGCTCAGTGGTGGTCTGTGGCTGAGATGAGTGGCGGCGGGCTGCTCCGGCGTGGCTGGGCTCCTCGCGCGGCCAAGGGAGAAGGAGAGGAAGGGGGGGTCTCGGCAGAACAGGGGGAAGGGGATGATCGTGAGAGAGAGAGAGAGAGAGAGAGAGAGAAATCAATTTAAAAAGGTCAACAACCCCACTCACTCTCATCCAAGGGCTCACATTAGATCTTGGTGAGCAAGTCAAGATCATAGGGCCACGAAAATTCCAGACTTCAAATTAAAGAAAAGGCTAAAAAGACATTAAATAAAATA